GAAAAACTGTGAACTTGGATTTTCATGTTGTAATTTACAGTTTCCTACACTTTTTTGGGAATTTACGCATGTCTCAACGTCTATGGCAGGTTCTCACAATTTATGATTTTTACGTAATAGCTTGCACTATGATAATACTATCAAAGTCTCTATAAAATGTCTTCTTTTTTCCATTTTCTATATAGATGCATAATTCATATATTTATATACATGTAGTAGAAATGTAGAATGCATCTGAAAATAATGTTGTCATCAGTATAAAAGAATGAAGCGTCAAATAGTGTTGTCGACGTCGTTTCAAATGCAAAGGTATACATATGATTATATGTTCCCAAAAAAAGATTGTATGTGTTATCTCGAGTAGTGAATACATATGTACGAATCAATTTCTACATTACACACAACTGCAAATTTTACATTACTCAGTTTGAGTCAAGATACATGTATATATAATCTAAGTATGTTGATGATGAAACATGTACAGGTAATAAAAGATGTTGATGCAATGAAGAAGTTGAAAGTACAAGGAAAAAGTAGAGAAGAGTTTAGTAAGAAAACTACAAAGGTGAAGATGAAGAAGCAAACAAAGAAAGAGACAAGTGTTGCGGAAAAGGATGATCTTGTTGCCAATACTGCTGATTACTGGCAACCAAGGCATCATCCTCCCAAGAACATCTGATCAAATTTATCATAATTATATATAGAGTGAGATGCAACAAAATGCCCATTAAATCTAGTGTTACAAGAACAATATCACGTGTGTACCTGAATTTAATAACTTCATCTTTATTGGGCTTATGGGCCCAAAACAAGCCCATTTGTTAAGAGAACTCCTGCACATTTTCTCTCTCGAAACTATTTTCTTCTCCATTTCTTTTTTTTTTTTTTGAATTACTTTTCCATTTCTTCTCTTCTTTCCTTTCTCATTCTGAAGTTTCTCTCACTTTTGTTGGATCAAATTCGTCAGTACGTAGCTCGAAAACTCTATTGATCCTGAAAAGAATTGTAATTTTTTTTGTACCGGAAAATTGGGTATATGAGAAAATCTATGGAGATATTCGCAAAAAAGGGCTCGTCTCTCACTAACTGCGGACCAACTGTTCGAGCAAATTCCTCAATGAGAAGATATCAGGTAATTATCTCAACATTTTTTTCCCTAAATTTATTAATTTTTAAACATATGGTAATTATCTCAACATAACTCAAGTATATAAACAGAAACTTTCATAAGGAAATAAAAAAACAAACAAACCCTAAAGAGAAAAATTGTCTTCTTCAAACAGATAAAGAGAGAGAGAAAGATGACAATACCAGACGAAGACAAACTTGGTGCGTCTCTGTTACTATATCTTAGCGAATCTACTGGAAAACCAAAATCGCTAGTAGTAGAAGAACAAGAAGAAGCTAAGCTTCGTAATTGTGCTTTGATATTAGTACAAATGAAGCATTCTCTACAATATCAGTCT